TCTTTAGGCAAACTGTCCGCTAGGCTAAATGTCTTTAGGCAGCTTGACCGGGTACCGAATAAGAGACCTCGTTGTTCTGCATTATAGACGAGTTCACTGAGTGCTTGATCAAGTTCCAATGACAAAGCCAACTCCATCTTCTTGATAAGTCCAAGCTGAAAATGGCTGCTCTCATTCGATGCTGATCGCCAAGTGATCGTGATATTGCCCTCATAGTGATCACAAAAGCGATCACAAATCAACAAGCTCTGTGGATCATCCTATCATCAGACTTAGCCGCTATGATAAGTCACTCAACCACACAACGTTTATCTTTAAAAGTCATGCTCAAAATCTTTGGGGTAATTGCTTTATATCGACACACACAGGACATTGGATAAGAAATCAGCGGAAACTACTGACATCCAGCGCCCGGATATGCGTTGTCAGCTTGGACAATATGATATCGGCTCGGTAGGCGTTTGCAGCTCGTGCAATCCGTGGCAAATCCGTTTCGATAGGTCGCCTTGTGGCGTAGATTTGATAGAGCAGCTCACGGAAAGCCTCCATTTCAAAATCACCCATATCTATGATGGCTCCATCTGCTGCTTCGTAAAGCAATGACGCTGAAATTACGAGACGCCTTCGAAGATGTACGAACTAGCGTAAGTGACTAAATTTACTTTGTATTGAAATGCAACTCGATTCAAATGATATAAATGTTTGATAATTCATGAAGATTCTATCGAAAGGAATGTTTCCAGGCTACCAGATTCTCTGATATCAAAAAACTAGGCTCAAATTCTCGTCAATCTCAGCGAAGTTGTCGTATTCTAACCTGAGGACAAGCAAGCTCTGAACTCACCCATATATCTGGAGTGCAGTGCTAGCAAGTTTTTATCTGCACAAAGCGTGGTGCCACCTTTGAATTGCAACACCACATCGCCAGCATGGAAGTAGGGCAGCTGCTCATATAACTGAAAATTCAAATTCATTGGTGTGCGGCAAAAAAGGATCAGTTTAACTCACCTACAACAAATTAAATGCATTTGGACAGGAACAAACATAATACCAATAGATCATGAAATGCGTTTAGTCACCAAAAACACTGACCATATTAGTGAATTTGAATTCGAGTTTGATGCGTTTCACGGCCGAATCCACCACTCGCAGCTTAATTGGTGGTAGCCACTTGCCAATCCGGAATAGACCTTTGTCAACCAGACGAATTGGGGTCTTGCGATCTGCTGCAAAAAAAACAAACTTCTGCTGATGATTCCAAGCAACCGTTGGCCAGGTGAATCAGCAGTAGAGGTGGATGACCGAAATCAGACCGACTGAATCGAACGGCTCCGTGCATGCGGATAACTAAATGGATAACGGACATCCACTAGCTCAAAAAAGAAAAATGTTTCAGAAACGAAAATATCTGGCCGGATGTTAGGAACCCGGTGAATCTGCCTAAAGACATCTGGCCTAACGACAGTTTGCCTAAAGACACAATGCCTAACGGACAGTTTGCTTTACGGACAGTTGCCTTACGGACAGTTTGCCTTACGGACAGTTTGCTTATTACGAACAGTGGTGATCAAACTGATCATATTGAAATCAAATTTGATCGCTCCAGCCGGCTCTTCATTAAACCGTAATTTAGGCATCCATTAGGCATACTACCCGTTCGGCAAACTACCCGTCCATTAGGCAATGTGTCTTTAGGCAAACTGTCGTTAGGCTAGATGTCTTACGGCAGATTGACTGATCACGGAATCTTATTATGTTTGAATCTTCACATGATGATATCGATACAGAGTGCGTTTCAACTACATCAATAAAGTGACTTCACATTGCAAAGTATCGTTTCAATCGCAGAAGCTTCTTCCCTTCTATTGTAAAGTATCGTTGAAGACTAACCAGTGCCCGTTTTAATTCTCAACTGTGTTGTATAAACCCATTCGGATGCCCAAATCTTCGCCTCACCATACACAACAACCACCGTTCCACCCAACTGAAATAGCCTCAAGCGGCTAGACTTGTGACGATAACAGTCTAATTATTGCTAAATCTCATTGTTTACCTATCGGATCGAGTAGATACAGCATGATTTAGAGCGGAAACCTCATCGGTTTGAGGATGGATGATCAGGTTGATCATATCGAAATCAAATTTGATCGCTCCAGCCGGCTCCTCCATTTGTTCGCCACGAATTCGTGCATAATTATCAACGACCACTGAGAAGAGCAAATCGTGATTGGTTGTCACTGCCGTATAGCTGGTTTGACTTCGACTGGGCTGAAACTAACAAGCTAAGAGGGTCTGCAATGTTGACAGCTGCAAAACTTAATGAAACCCGAGGCTTGCCCGATTCTAAGGGGATGAATATATTGTCGAGGACATCTATCTCTATGACAGTGAGGCTACAGTTACTACGATCCCACCTGAGAACCATATCCACCCATATCAATGGAGTAATATCCCCCATAGTTTGACCTCTAATGGTATTTATCCTGAGAAATTAACTGATCTGAGACTGAGAATATTCGAGCCTCGGTGAGATGATATCCTGAATTTACTAGCTGCTTTTTCTCGAGCTCTACCGATGAAAGCCATTTGAAGACTGAGGGAAAACGACACAAACCAATAGATTCATTATAGATGAAGTTGCCGTAGGGAATAGGGACGGCTCATCGAACGTACTCATTTTTGAATAAGGCCGAGCCGGGCCGGTACCGAGGCCACTTAACCGACTGAGCACCGTCCAGATCGATTGAAACAATGGGAAAGTCGTGTTATTGCGATGACAAAACCCATGGTCTCTTCATGCAAAGATGATCTGAGTAAATTTGAATACCTGTAATTACCTGGATTACCTGGATTGGTCAGGCTATCCAACGTTTGTGACGTTGCTGGCCACAATGCTCGCAATGTTTCCGTGCTGCACATTGTTTTAGTCTCAATTTAATCCGATGCTTGAATATTCTGACTCTCAGATCGATTAATCTCTAAGGATCAATGCCATTAGAGCTTAAACTATGAGAGGTCAAACCATTAAAGGTTTTCCAGCTAATGGTAATTCATATGCTTGAATGGATATCGTCGAATTCTAATAGTAAGTTAAGGAAGAGGATGAAAACTTCAAATCCAATTCAATCCAGTGATTACGTTGATTAATTTCCAGTCGTTTCCTCCAGTTACGAATGGTTTTGCCTGGCTGAATGCAATGCACAATACATCAATCTCGTTTCCTCATTATCCCACTTACTTTGATTCTTTTCATTGCTGGCTAAAAAGATGAAAGTTTTCAATGTTTTTGCATTTGTAGAACCAGGAACAGGAGCAACGAAAAAAATACCAAATTATTTTTTGATTTATCCGAAACGATACGGAAAAAATGGCAGACTTAACGATGATTTATGAAAGTGAGTTAGTTTAGTTTCTGTTTTGTGCGTCATAAAAAAAACAACTGACTTCACAACCATCACAAAACAAACACACTCTTACGTTGGCGTACAAAAGCACGATGATTTGCAGCAGCAGTAGATGAAGGAAGAACAAGGCTAGTTTTTCAGTTTTTTTCTCATTTTCGGAAATGTTTTTCGCTGCCAACTGTTCCATTTTTTTTAGATCCCTGCTGAGTGCTGAAGTTGTTAGTTGCATTTGATCATTTGATCGT